GGTTATTTCTATATTTGATCTTTTCAGTGATGAAGTTACACTTTGCTTTATTGTGTTCACTAAAATTAATGTATAAGTGGACACTGTTTAAAATATATATATATCACCCAATGCTTCTAAGTCCAGGACAGAATGGCATTTTTTATTGGTTGGTTTTGTGTACTCACGGACTGCATCGTTCCTTTGCTGAGGCTTGTTGTTATTCTAGACACAGCCTACAATCATAATGTACTTAATTTAATTCACTTCACTAAACCCGTATTATGCAGGGTGAAATTAAAGGAAAAATATTCCTCTTGGTTTCTTCTTGGTAAATATAAAGGGAATACACACACAGTCACCACCAGCAACTCAGTCCTTCCTTGAATTGCCACATTTATTTTTTTGAATGGTTGGGCAGTTACGCAGGCCAGGAAAGGGTAATAACATGTCATGCTTCAGGCTATGATCTGATCACAAGAGGGCCAGGGAAGACACCTTGCCTCCCCTGTAGAATTGTTTGCTTGGCCAGATTTCACTAATTGGGGTGAGGGGTTGCTAAATTCCTGTGTCTCACTGGGCATTTGCAGCTTCAAGATTCTGGGGCATGAACTTGCAGGAGTAATGGTCTGATCTTCTATCATAGCTTCATACCATCACAGCAGAGTGATATTTCAGTTTTCTCTTAGTTCCTCACTTCTGTTTTTATCCGTTGGAATCAGAGTTCACCACCTTTAAATAAATACTATGGGAAGAAATTTTAGTGCTGAGAAGGAATCTAGAATTATCTTCATAGAGGCTAACATTTATGTTCTAAAAGTTCAAGTGACTTGTTCAAAACCTTATTAGGAGTTGGTGGCAAGACTGTGAGAACCTGGGTTTCTGGACTTCAAGTAGGAGTTGTTTCCAGTTCATTATACCTGGGGTCTGCTGTACACATGTCAGTTAGTTTCAGTTATACCAGCATTTTTCAAATTTAAGTGCTCGTCTGAGAAACAGGGACCTGCTAAAGTACAGATTGGTAGGCTCCCTCCCCAGGGCTGCTGATCTAGTGGTTGATCAGCAGATCTAGGGTCTGGCAAGGAGCTGAGATACTGCGTTTCTAATGTGTTTTCAGGTGACTGATGTTGCTGGGCCAGGGCTTATACCTTACAAACCATGAAGATACACCAATGTTGTTAAATAGAATTATTTCCTTCCCTTTCTGTCTCAGTTTGTTTCATTGTATATTAACTTACTCATCAAATATTTAGTGAATACTAACCAAGCACATGGCATGTTGGTCCTGGGGATGGAGGCCATGAAGAGGACAATAGTACAGTCCTTTTCTATAGTGTTCACAATAGTGGGAAGGGAAGAGACAGAATTATAAACAATTACTGAGCAATCTTCAGAGAAGTGATATAAGTATGTGCCTGCAGCAGGGATGCTGAAGGATTTTTAAATTAGGGTATGTTTTAAGGTTATTTTGGCAAGAGTGTGTAAGGCAGATGAGAGAGGATTCTTGGAAGCATTGAAAAATTAAGAATTGTTGTTACTCTATATGCAAATGATGTAGCTGACTTAAGACTACTAGTAGCAATGGGAATGAACAGAACATTAAAAGGTTAAAATAACCAGCACTTATTAACCAATCAGAAGTAAACAATAAGAGCCTTTATTATAATTCCAAGGTCTATGGCACATCTATAGGTATATCAACAGATGAGATGGAAATGCTGTGAACAGAGAAAATAGAGGCGGGAGAAATAGGGTGGAGGGAGATAAGTTTATTTGGGACATGTTGAAACTCTTGTAGACAGACAGTAGGATACTACTGTGATTGGGAAATGGAATATAAGATTGATGAGACTGGCCCAGCATCAGGAGAAATCAGAATAAAGTCATGGAAGTATATGAGCCTCCTGAAAGAGATGAGAAACAATTTCTGGTTCAGGGTTCCTATGTAAATTGCTGTCAGAGATAAGTGATATAACTTCAGTTACAAAGAAAAGGAAGTCAAATTAATACTGCATGTTAAACTAAGGAGTAACTAAGAAAAAAATGGAAAATCTGAATTCAAAATTTCTCATTTAGATAACCGAACACATTGAAAATGGACGCTAGAAAAATGTAGCAATACTAATTTCTAAATCGTGCTCGTTGCTACACTGCTATTGTTTATCACTTGAAGCCCTGGGAAAATTCTTATCTGCTCCAGGTCTGTTAGCTATAAAACAGGGTGGCTGAGGGAATTAAACAGTTGCTAAAAATCACTTAGCGTAATGCTTGGCACAAGAAAAAAGCTTTGTATTTTTTTTTCATTTTAAAGATTTATTTATTTATGCATACAAGATTGGGGTCTATGTCAGAGGTGTGGGTGGTAAGAGGATTCACCAGAAACAAAGTGGGGCAGATTTTTACTTCATGAAATACACTGCTCAGGGGAGCAGTGACCAAAACAGGAGAGGTTTGCTCTGCACCAAGTGGGTCTCCTCCCTGGCTGGGGATCAAACTCAGATTTCAGTGGCTGCAAAATAACTTGATATTTGAGACTTAATCCCTGTGCCACCTAGGAGTCTCCCCACCCCCCACCTTATTTTTTTTTTTTTAATATTGAGCACTGTAACATTTTTTTCTAGTTTGTAAAAATAAAATATTCAAGGCCCTCCCTGGCGGTGCAGCGGGTTAAAGCACAGCACTAAGAAGTTTAAGCCACTTCCGCATGAGTTCGATTCCCGCCTGCCCCCATGAGTTCGATTCCCGCCTGCCCCGGAGGTGACCACATGGCGTGGCAGACCTCTCCTGACCCGCCCGCTGCTCCCCTCAGCAGTGTACTTCGTCGATCTGCCTGTTCTGCTCCCCACTCTGTCTCTGGTGAAGCCTCTCACCACTCCTGCACCTCTGGCCTGTCTCCCAGTTCTGTATGCACAAATAAATAAATCTTTAAAAAAAAAAAAATAAAATAAAATAAAATATTCAAGAAAGCAAGAAATAAAAGAAAAAAATGAAGATTGTAAATGTAAGGACAAGTTCAGATGGTCCTTTCTTGCCACCTCTTGAATGCCAAGAATGGGGTATGCCATTTACAGGGACTCTCATATCAAAAACAGTCCTGATTTCTTATATTGGTTTTGTATTGCTGCAGAATACATTATGACAAATGTGGTCATTTAAAGCAACACATCTGTTTTCTCAATTTCACAGCATGACTACGTAACCTGCTTATGTGTCTCATGGGTGAAGGCCAAGGTTTTGGCTGGAGCAGAGTACTTGCTTCTCACAGGGCTCTCTCTGAAAATCACAGGTTGTTGGCCAAATACATTTCCTTGTAATTGTACAATTAAGATTCTGGTTTCCTTTTTAGCTATTGGGTCTGTGAAAACTCACATCTTTAGGCTGCTGGCAATTTCTAGGCATGTGGCACCCAAAGGCATTCCCAACATGGATGTTCTCTTTCTCCCAGGCCTGAATCAGATGTCATCATTGAATTCCTTGCCTGTTTCTCATCTGATTTGTCTCTGACGGCTAAACCATGATTTAATGGATTCATGTAAGTAATCCATCTGGATTATCTCCCAATTTAAGGAGCAGCTACCTTAATTATATCTACAAAATTCCTTCACAGCAGTACGTAGAGCGGTATTTGATTGAATATCGTGTGTGTGTATGAAGGCAAGGGGGCTGGGAACCTTGGGTACCCTCACGTAAATTCTGCTACCACATTCCTGAAGCACATACAAGATCAGTCACAGGACTGAGCTGTGATTTTCAGTGGCATTGCTGCATTAACATTTGGCCTTTTGGCTATTTCTCTACACTCCATTTACATTTGAATGACAAGTTGCTGAATATCTCAAAGGCCAAGAGACAAGCTTTTAGAAAAGTGACATATTTTCTCCCCATGCTCTTAGGATACTTCAGAATGATGTGTAATTATAGGTCTTTCACCTCTGACTCTATGCTCCTAACATCTATATAATCACTGGGTCATGGCAAGAACTTATCTGTCATTTTAAAAAAGTAGTTTTCAACTCAAAATTGCTTACTATTCCTGATTTCAAGATTTGAGAGTCTCAGTTTGATCAATGCAGTTCCCAAAGTAAATCAGTTGATACCACGGCTACTTTGAGGGGGGTACTTAAATGTACTTGCCCTGAACATATATTCAATTTAGGAGCAATATATTTTATATTGTCAAATTGACTGTCTTTGTTCAAGAGGCCTGTATTTCAAACACAACCAGACTAAGTAACCAGTAAGAAAAAGGAGTGTTGAGTAAAAATGCTAAGTGAGGTTGAACTTAGAAGTATAAATTATGGTTGGGATATTTAATATTTAGGATCACTAGAAATAGCCACTGCAATTGGTTTAATCCAAGTGAAACTCACAGTTTATACTATGTGAAAGTTGAATTAATAGTCTCTTGGACATCATGAAAAATGTTAATGTTGATTATGTATCTTTACATTTTGGTCAGTATTTCAAAGAAAACCTTAAATGTATTTTAAACAGCACATTTTTGTACTTTTTTTTTCTTCTCTCCTTCTTTGCTAAAGGTAATTATAAGCCTTCATAAACTTTTATTTCCATGCTATCGATTCTTAAAGCCCATAAATCATAATTAAGCTGGTGATTTTACATTACTCACTGATTGTGAAGCCTAGTTTTCCTTCTTACCCCACACCCCCAACAAATGGGAAGAAAGTGAGCCTTCTGCATTGTGAGACCAAGGGGATATCTCTTTACATATCTGACTAATTCCTAAAACTCAAATCACTGGCAAAAATCAAGACAAATTTTGAAATACACTCCAAAAGGTAGGAAAAAAAAAAAACAAACCTTTTAACTACAAACTTTCGATTACCTGTGCAGGGTGTATTCCCATGTAGTTGCCTGTGGATGTGCTAGAGTAACACTTTGCTCCTATTTATCAATAGTAAAATGGCTTCAAGTTGGGAAGCATCAAACATATTGGCAGTGTATCTAATGAGCAAACAACTTTATTTGGAAAAAAAATGTTTAGATTCAGAGTAGTACAAATTCTGAGATGTTACAATTATATTACAATAAGTTTGAATTGTTTTATTTATCCAGTAGTTCCAGAACAGTAATTTAGATTTATGTTTTGTTAGCTTAAACTAACAAAATTCAGATAAAGCTGACCATCAAATGAATGACTTGCCTTTTAAAGTGGGAAGTAACTTCCTCATTGTTGTTTTAGAGGAAGCATGATCATATGCAAAATTGGCCTTTGGGATGGCAGCCTGCTTTGGGTCCTCTATAATACCTTCCAATTTATATTATCTATGTTTATTAAAACCACACAAGCGGTTAAAATGTCACACACACACACACACACAAAACCTTATTTATGTTTAAATGTCTCTTCTCAGTTGAAGATACACACAGTACCACCTTTACAGTAAACTGACATATACAATGCCAAAATCTTACTGTAGTTTGTGAGGCTTAGTATATTAAGGATTCCAAATCAACACTAGAAAAAATTAAGTCCCCAAAATTACTTATGTAATGTTTAAATTTATAGTGATTGGTAGCTGAATTTATATATTGAAAAAAAAAACATGCTTTAAAAAACAGCTGTGTACAACTTTACAGAGAACCTAAGAAACATCAGGTGTGAAAACTGGTATGAAGTACAGATTTCTCTTAGAGGTCAACTGGCCAATTTTGAGCCCTTATTTCAAAAGTATTTCAATTTTATCACAGAAACTTTTTACATACTTGTAGAAAAACTTTTTTTTTTTTTTTTTTTAATTGTTTCATAAAGGTAATTTTTAAAGCCTTTGGATCCATCCTAATAGAACAAACATTAGCAAGATTAAGTCCAAAATGCCATCACTGACTTGCTGAACCAGTCTGTGTGAAATCATGAGAACTTTTTCTCAAGTTCACTTATACCAATGATATAATCACCTCAGAATAGCTCTATAAGTCTGTAAGGTAATGGGTATCATAATACCTAGGCAAGCATGAGAGGTACACAGATACAAAGTTTTATGTATGTCTACATACTGCATGGTGCCTAAACAGAGTTAGTTCCGTAAGGTAACATGTATTAACCCAATTTTGGAAGAGATAATTAAAACAAAACAAAACAAAAAAAAACAGCTTAGTTCATTTCCCCATTTGGCTTATTGTTTCTACTATCTTTTCTATAGTAATGCTCTCTTCCCGCAGAAAGGATATAGAATTTGTTTTTCTTTTCTAAGGATTTATTGGACCCTGTGAAACCTAACAAGGCCAAAAATGCCTTGAGCCAAAGAATGATAGTTCATATTTGTCTTTTCAGTCGTGTAATAACTGAAGAACTGAAGTCTGTCAATGTCCACATGTCTGCCTAGAATGTCCAAAAGTCCCGTGCTTGCTCTGTGTTAGGAATAGATGACAATTTCACTGGTGTTACTTTAAACCAACACGGAAGGCCTTTCCTTTGGGATCTGACAGGATGATTATACCCCAACAGGCAATACCTAGGGGAAAAAACAACAGGTTTATATATATAGTTGCATTTTTATTTCACCAGCTACTGTCATGTGCCATCTTATTTAAAGTTCACAACATTCCTAGAAGATTTATATCTTCTTACAGAACAGTGAAAAGGGAAAAAGTTTAGAATGGAATAAACAACATTCTGTTATCACCCCAGCAAGAAAGGAACTTAAAGGGAATTGATGAAAGCAATCAAAGGTGAAAGATCTGAAAAATGCTTATCATTTAATTGGCTTAAAGAACTGAAAGAATCACATTTTACTGGAACAGGTGTTGGCCACCTTAATAAGTGCCACACTTAGTATAGAACTTTGAACTCCTAAGACCTGTTTTTAAGATAAAGTACCCTTATTCAGGCTTCTTCTAGGATCTGGAGGGGAAAAAAAGAAACATGGGGTAGAACAAACTGGAGTCAAAAAAATGTTCTGTCATTTACTGGGTAACCTTTGAACACAGCTCGTCTTGTCTTAGTTCCTTGGCAAAAAGAATACACTAAACTTATTTTCTGATAAACTATTGCTGTGATTAAAAAACACGAGGCTAACACAAGTTCTCAAGAAAGACTGTGGCTGTGGTTGGTAGGTAGGCAGATAGAGAAATGCGTCCTAACAATTGCTTCCTTGCGCTGCATCTTGTTTGGGGTGCTTTCCGCCAAGTTACTCAGACGTCCCCCCCTCCCCCCCCCCGCCCACGTGGCTACACCTGGTTCCACCCTCTTCCCAGTCTCCGCTCCAAAGGTTTGGGCCCCGAGGCTCACTGATGCCGACGACCATCTGCGTAACAGTTCCTGGACTCGGAGGGTATCCCATCTTCATGGGTTTCCTCGCCACCCAGAACACGTACCCGCCCGCCCCCATCAGCCCGAATCCCGACAGCACACGACAGCTCCAGCAGTTGTTGAATGCGGGCGCTTGCGCTGGAGACGTGGGCGCTCCAGGGGCAGCGAAGGGCGCGGGGTTGGCGGAGGAGGTGGCCTCAGGAGGCGAAACGACCTTGACTCGCTCGAGAGGCTGGGATATATGAGAACCCATGATTAGGAACTCAGCCTTCAGCCTAGGGAGCCTTTGGATCAGGCTGACGTAAAACTTGCTGCCGGAAAGCAAAGAGCCGGTCGTGCTGCGCCGGAAGAAACCTGAAGGGCTGCTGGGAAATGTAGTTCTTGCTACCTCCGAGGGAAAAAGACGGACGCACCGGTAGCGGTGGATTTCTGTGGAAACTGCCTTGTTCGTTCGTGCCGTACACCAACCGTCCCCTCACCCCAGCAATTTTAAGAATTCTTACTTAGCTACCCCCTAAAAATGTTTCCGTAGAAGAAAAGTCTGGTTTCTAAATTTCCTGTGTAGCACAAATGGTGAGACCTCTCTGGAGGCGAGTGATTCAAAATAATTTATTTAATCTTATGGGCCCAATTGACTATCTGTTTCCCAATTTATGCCAAAACTGCTTAAGTGTCATCATAATGTAAACAAATGCTTGCTTGAAGATTTAAGGCCTTTAATGTCAACGGTATATATTGTGAAGAGATTGAAAATGGGTTTGAATTACTTCGATAAATAGCTGCAATTTTTCTTTTCTTTTTTTTAACGCCATCATCTCGGCTTTGTCATACTTATGGTATTGTTTCTGCTTTTGGAACCTTAGAGAAAATTAAACTCAAAATGCAGCTAATGGATTTGAGGAGTTAATAGTGGATCTGTTCTTGTAGTTTTTACATTCTTGTATTTAAGAATGGGCTTTAAACCGATCGGTTCTTTTCAATTCAACTTCTGTGTCATTCATTTCAAAATCACCTTTCATTTCCTTTGGCTAAGGGTGGGTATAGATTTCTTCTACTGGGTTGTTCTGGGGATTTGTAAGGATTAGTAAGGAAAAAGGCATTTAGAGTTCAGAGATTGTTTCTGTTAGGGGGCATGGGTGAAAACAGGTTTAAATTCAGGTTTGATATCTCAACATTAAAATGGCTTAAAAGGTAACATGACGGAAAACATTCATGATTCAGCACTATAAAATAGGATATGATTTTGTAATGGCGAACAACAGCAACAAAGACAAAAATGAAGTGATGGATAAATAGGAGAAATAGAACAATAATAATAATATTGGTTTGGCCTACTGCTTGATTTCAGATAACCTCCTGTATCATTACTCATGCATATATGCCACTGTGTTACCTCGTACAAAGACAAAGATATAGGAAATTGAGTGTATACCTGGCTCATTTGTTGCTGTGAGTCAGACTATAACATAAAGAACTTTTTTTTTATTTTTTCTCTCTGGCCCTTAGTCACTTCATGTTTGAAATAAAGAATTTTGAAATAGGTAATATCTAACATTCTTAGCTATTTAACATTAGGAATCTCTCTTCATTTAGCATACTAAGTATCATTTAAATGAGTTCAGTAGCATGTCACTTAGAAATGCATAATGTATGAATGCTGTTTCTAACTACAAGTGATCCAACATTATATAGTACAAGTGATTCTATTTATGCGAAAAAAAATTTCATCATTTGTCAGTAGTTTTCAAATATTTTGATTTCACACTACTGTGGATAAAGATTGAGCACACAATAACATTTATGAATGCCTACTGTTATGAATTATATATTTAATATAATACTTTATTAGGATAAGGTACAATAATAGAAAATTTAGTATTCTATTACATATCATAGTTATTTGCCATGTAACTTAATTCATATTTTATCAAAAACTTAGCTTCTTTACTGTACTTTTCATAATTATGTTAGTAAAGAACATCTATAATTTCCCAAATAAATGGTATTAAAATAACCTATAACACATTTTTCATATGATAAACAGATTTTATTACAACTTTTTTTTTTAATGCCTTCCAAGAAATATGTTTGTATTCTTAGGCCTCAAATGAATGATTTTAAGTTTTTATGTTACTGTGCCATCCCTCCAAGATTAAATAGTAACGAACGTCTGTGGTACCCATGTTCTAGAACTTTATGTAACACATGGTGAAAATGAGATGTATTTGTATAATTTTTGACTGAAAATTTTTATGAACGTTAAGATACCTCTGAATGAAGAAGAGGGGTCTGAGGGTAAGGCTAAAGATCATTGAAAGCAAGCAGATATGTAATTGATAGAAGTTGCAGGCATTCAGAGAGGTTTATGGTTAACTACTGTATTAGCTGTAATGTATTTATTCATTTTACTGTTTACTTCTGAGTTCATTCTGAATCTTAAGACTCACTAGGCCTTATAGTTTCTCCTATTTATTTATACATTTGAAAATGCAAAAAATAAAAAGGTGTCCTTTATAATACTGTTCCTTTGTCACTGAGTTCCTTTCCCTAGTACAGCAAGACCTAAGAGTGTGAGAGGAGTCAACAGAGACTGAACTGCACTACTAAGGGGAGTAGTGGGCAGATCAGGAGAGGTCTGTCATGCCTTGTGGGTTACCCCCTAGCCAGGGATCAAACTTGTGCTGCAGTGGCTGTGATAATTTCATATTGCTGTGCTTTAGCCCCTTGTGCCACCAGGGAGGCACCCCCCTTTTTTTTAAATCAGATTTTTGTGAGTCTTTCAGAGATGTTTCTGTGTATGTGTATTGTTTTCTCCACTGCTTTTGGAGATCACTCCTTATTAGTCAATATGGAAGAGTTTCTTCATGGTTTTCTATGGCTCTATGTACATAAAATGTATTTCTTTTAATGTATGTGTACTAAACTATATTTAACTGCTCATATGAATGGATATTAAGGTTGTGTCCACTCAATTACTAGTAATCATAAGTAAATAATCTTGTGCATACATCATACTGCAGACATCTAAGTAGAATATGTTTCTACAAAGATACAGTATTTATAAACTTGGTGGTCTTACCGGTTGCCTTTCACAGAAGTTATAGCAGTTTACATTCACCCACAAGTATAAAAAGACTGTTGTTCTGTTCACCCAGTGATTTCTGCCAATCTGATATGTGAAAATGATTTAATTTTCCTTGTCTTAATCTGAGGGTAATTCCTATTTTTTTTTTTTTTTTGTGAACTGCCTATCTTTTGCTTTTCCATTGCATTGTATTTTTTTCATTGACTTTTAGGGACACTAATAAATAGAGGGATTAACTGTTTGTCTATAGTATTAAAAGTTCAGGATATTTTTCTCCCAGTTTGATATATTTTGACTTAGCTTGTTGAACTGTTTTAGCATGTTTATTTTAAAAACAGTAATTCAATTTATCTGTCTGCCCTTTTGAAGCTTCAGAGTCTTACATTATAATTAGGAAGGCATTCCACTTTCAGTTGTTGTCCCTGATATTGTGATTTTTTTAATAGTTAAACTTAATACATTTGGAATTTGTACCATTATCTATTTTCAAGAATAGAATCGGATGTCACTTTTTCCTCTTCTACTTAATTTACTCAACTTTATTATGTAGTCTGTCTTTCTTCTGTCTATCTGAAATGCCACTGTTTCTAAAGTACCATATCTATTGATAGACTTCAAATTCTGTTAGATTTGTCTGTCTGTCCATGTGTGAGTATCACAATACTTTAGTTACTACCACTAATGTGTTAAACTGGGAGACTGGTTTTCCCCTATTACTCTTCTAGACTTTTCGCTATTTTTATTTGCTTATTTTCCACATGAACTTTTGATTCATCTTGGTTATTCTGACAAAATGTTGCTGACATCTTTATTATAATTTTGTTAAAATTACATGTTAATTTAGGAGACTTCACATCTTTGTGATAATGAATCATCTTTTCCTAGGATTTGGAATGCTTTTTCTTTTGCTCATATCTTATTTTTTGTTTTTCTGTAGTATATAATAAAGTTTTATTTTTTAAGATTTATTTATTTATGCATGCATTACATGTTTTATACATGTATAACCTTAAATAAAGAAAAATAACTTCCTTAGAGATATTATCTACTTCACCCCACTTTTCAACAATACTTCTACAGTTCAGTGTCCACCAAATCTGGAATTCTTGGCTTGAATCTACAAATCAGTTATGCTGTATATTTCTTCATGATTACTTCTTCATTCATGGGTCTGGCTTTTCTCCTGATGCACTGGACAGATTATGTACTTTGGGGAGTATTGTTGGCATGGTGGTTTCCTGTATGTTTTGGTGGTATATAAATTATATTTCTCCATTCTGCTCACATGTTCTTCCTCATAATTATAAGCCATTTCAGAGTATTCTCAAAAGAACATTCCTGTAAGAATTTTGTCAGGAGGAAAGTTTTAGACATGGGATATTAAAGAGAGGAAGGCTTGGTATGTCCTGGCTTTTCTATTTTTGCTGGAATTTTCTGCCAGATTGATGATGCTAGGATTCTTAAATATGATAGCAATTTCCATATATTATTTTTCCCTACAAACTCAGCATCTACTTGAGATTTATTTATTGGATATCTTTTAGTATTTCATTTTTTTGTTGTGTTTTTTTATTCTAAGCTTCAAGGAACATCAAGTCCCTCTTTATTTTTAAGTATTTGATCACCTTTTGGAGCTATGGCTCTGGCTGGGTTATTCTGTTGCTGAGTTTAAAACAAAAAGTCCCTGTAAAACATAAACCTAAATTTCTGCGGTGCGTCTTGATGTAGACCTCCATATGTAGAAAAGAAATAGACTTGAGTAGTTAATATCCACAGCAGAAGGTTGGAGATGCCAGAAGATGAGTGACATGCTTGTCCATATTCTGCTAGACTTTTTGGCTTCACATGATTTTTTCCCTCCTCCAGAACAGTTACTGTTTTTGTTTGTTTGTTTGTTTTTTGCAATAATCCATTTGTAATTCCAGTGATAAATGGACCTATTCAAACCATGTCAGTTTTTGGATTCAGAAAACTATGTCTGTCTTTGTGTATAGAGACAGCCTCAACATATTCCCTATGAATACTCATGGTCTTATTTTCTCTCTAGTGAATGGAAAAGGCAGCTTTGAGGTTTTAAGTCTCCAAGTCTTTTTTCTCCCTACACCATCACAGACAGTGTGCCTCATACACACATAGTTTCTTGGAGATTTTCTTTGTTTTAATATGCCTCCTTTACTTTGTGGAACAAAACTGTCCATGGATCCTAGGAATTTAGGT